AGGTTTCCAGTAGGGCCAGTGATGCAGCCTCCCCAGTTACCTGAGCTGGGCACTCCAGGTGTGCCCGTGTGGGCTGTGTGCGCACTGTCCTGCTATAGCGAGCCTTGACTGCTGTTGGCATCACCAGGAAGGACTGACCCCAGGCCAATCAGCCAAGAACCAGCTGCGACTACAGTGGAGGAGCTGCTATGCAGGTGTCGACCCTACAGAGCAGGACATGCTTCAGTGGGGCTTTGGTGTTCACCAAGTCTGCCCCTTGAGTGTGTCATTCGTGGAAGTGGTAGGGTTATAATCTGGCATGATCTGAAGCTGTCCACTGGGTGCACTGGCTCTGGGGTCTCCCGGGAGGTGCAAAGTCAGCCACTGCTTGTGCCCTGTCTAGGACCACCAGGCTTGAGCTACTGAGCAACCTGCAGGTGGCTGCTACTTGTGATGGGCTTGGAGAAGCCCAGGAGAGGACATGCTGTGAACCAAGGTGGGCTGCGACTAGTGCCAGGCCCGGGGTCACTTAGTGAGAGGTACAGAGCACGCTGAGGCCACTGCTGCTTGTCTGAGAGATTTTAAGAAAGTTGAAGCATGAGGAAAGAGAGGCCAGTTGTATGGAAAAGCCACTGGAAACAACTTAAATGAGCCCCCAAGTTGGGTGGGGCAAGGTCTCAGGAAATCACCAGGGCAGGGTGAACAGTGTGAGCCAGGATGAGAGAGACTCAGATATGGTGCTCACCTGTTGGTGTTGTGGTGGGGTGGGCTCAGCAAAGGCACAATGGCCTCTGCAAGCACTCCATCTGGGAGGAAGCTGCCCTGCCCCCAGCTCGTGCCCTAATGCCAGATAATTTAGTTCCTCCCATGTGTTCCTGGTTCCTTTCAAGCTGCTGCCCCAACACGAGCTTAGAGGGAGAGAATCCAAGTAAGTCCGTGCACAGGCCCTTTTAAGAGGAACTGCCTGGGACTCCAGGGCCTCAGTGTCATTCAGCCACAATCCCCACTGGTTTTTACAACCAGAAGTCATGGGACCTTCTCTTCCTGGCACTGGAACCTTAGGCTGAGGGGTCTGTTGTGGGGCTGGGTCACCTCATTTCTCAGGAGGGACCTCCACAGCTAAGATATCCCTCCCAATTAAAAAACACCACACATGGGTATGGAATCCACCTGTTCTGTGCCTCCATCCCTCCTACCAGTCTCCATGTGGCTTCTTCTTCAATTCCCTAGTTGTAGGACTTCCATTCACCTAGATTTCAGGTGGTTCTGAATGATGGTTTTTGTGGTTGTGGGGGGATTCTAGTACCATGTTTACCTATGCTGCCATCTTGACCAGAAGCCTCTGCAAGTGGCTTTTTATTGGCTTTGGAAGTCAATCTTAATTCCTTTGGAGTCCAGGCATGTCTCTCTTAGACATATATTCCAGTCAAAGTCTTGGTTATAAGACCACATAGTTAGAAACTGGTCTTATTAGATTTATGCAAAGAAATGTATTACCAAGACTCATTTATTAAGACATGCCTAATCAGGTAGGCAGAAAAAGCTAGTAATCCCTAGATTGGCAAACATTCCATAACTTTTAGTAACATAGGCTCTTTTACTGGCAAACACACTGACACCTTAAGAGGCATACTTCCATGGAGACAGGTATCATATAGCAAAATCCACTGATTTAGTAAATTACAGGTGAAATGGGTTAACTGATTGGCTTTGATAGGTTAGAATCAGATAAAATCTATTTTTCAGAATTTTCATTCCAACAGATGGCACAGATAAAGTTCTTGGAGACCACCACTTTAAAGGCAGAGAGTCCTGCCCTGGCCAGTTTGGCTCCGTGGTTAGAGGATTGGCCCGCGGACCAGAGAGGCCCAGGTTCATTTCCCGCTAAGGGCACATACCTTGGTTGCAGTTTGTCCCTGGCCCTGGTTGGGATTGTGTGGGTGGCAACTACTCGATGTCTCTCTCTGATATTGATGTTTCTCTCTCTCTCCCTCCCACTCTATCTGAAGATATATGCAAAAAATAAATAAAAAATGTCCTCGAGGATAAAATAAAATAAGTAAAAAATAAAGGAACAGAGTCCTTTCTTTGAAAAACCCTGAATTAAATTCCTTGCCAGAGTAGGTACTTCAGAGGAATGGAGATTGCACTAGTATTGATTTTTGGGGAGAAAAACCTAAAAAAACAATTTTTCATACTTTTGAACAGAAGATTCGATAACTGAGGGAAACATGAACACCTTTTTTCTATGTCCCCTAGCTTTCTGTCTGGTCAGTCATGATGTCCCATGACCCACACAACCTAAGCCGACTGGGGGATTCACATTCACCCACAGCCTGAGGTCCCTATCACTTCTGGGACAGAGACTCTTCCCACAGTTGTCCAGGTGTGGAGCCTTGAACTCCACACAGAGATTCTGAAAGCCTCTGACCTTTTTGGAGGTTCCCACCCTTTTGTCTGGCTGCACAAGAGATGTCTATTGTCTCCACTGTCTGAGGTAGAAAAATTTGAGCCTTTTTAACAGGTCTTTAATAGCTGGGCGGTGTGGGCTCAGTTGGTTCAACTGGGCAGAATTACAAATAGTGTTCCAATTGGGAGACAAAGGCAAGAGGCATTTATGAGAAAAGGAAGAGAAACTACGTCAAATACATCATCAGTAGAAGGAAGGCATTTCTATAGGTGCAGATAAGCTAACATAGTGGTGTGAACTCTAAAGAATGTTTTTAATTTCCAGTCTGGTAGTCATAATATCCTCTTGTTATCTTTGAAACAGTTCCAATGTTGCTTTAGGCCCAGTCCAAAGGGTACTTTGCTGTTTGAACATTCCAAAGGCGTGAGGAGTAAGACAGGCAAGGTAGTTCCTCTGGGATGGCAGTTCCAACTCCAATTTAAAGTGGCTCCATTTATATTATTCTTTGCAGTGCCGGGGGGGGGGGGGGGGAGGATATGCCCTGGACGTTAGGAGGATAATGAGCACACAAAGGAGACTTGAGATGGTACACCTGGTTCTAGGTGCTGTCCCAGAAGCCACGTTGGATTAAAGGAGTGAGCAACTGTGTGGAACATTTCTGGAAGTTTAAGGAGGGTAAACACCGAAACTTGCACTGGACTTGGCAACAAAAGTATTTGGTGACTTTGTCATGAACAATTTTGTTGGCATAATGGAATGAAGTAGGTTCAAGGACAATGGAGACAATTAGAGACATCAAGTTTATAGACTCTTCAAATGAAATTTGCAGCAGTAGCTGGGAGAGATGGGGTCAAGAAAGGGTTTTATTTTGTCCTCTGTCAGTGCAGGAACCAGAGCAGACTTCTGGCTTCATATAATACAATTCCCAGGGAAGCCCTCTTTATATAACGGGAAGCTCACAAGGTTAAGAACCAAAACACACAACCCTACCCTACCACCACTTTTTGGGGATGACCTTTAGTAGGTTATTTAATTTCTCATCTGTACAAAGAGCAGAACAATCCCTGTGTTTTCCATCTCACAGCTGGGTAAATGACTAGGAAACATCATTTATGTATCACCATTTTACTTTCTGTCTCTATGCTCTGACCCAAGAACCTCATGTAAGTGGAATCATACAGTATTTGCCTTTACGTGACTAATCTATTTCACTCAGTATCCTATGTCCTCAGGTGCATTCATGTAGTAAACCAAAATTTTCTTCCTTTTTAACGCTGAATAATATTCCACTGTCTGTGTATACCACTATTCATTCACCCCTAGGTAGACACTTGGATTGATTCCACTTTTTGGCTATCATTAATAATGCTGCTATAAACAAGGGTGTACAAGTATCTCAGGACCCTGTTTTAAATTCTTTTTAACATATACCCAGAAGTAGACTTACCAGGTCATTATGGCAATTCTATCTTTAATTTTTTGAGGAACCGCCATACTGTTTTCCACAGCAGCTGCACCATCTTACATTTCTAGTCATGATGTATGTTTCTCCATGTCTAGCCAAAACTTTCTATATAGTAGCCATTTTAATGAGTTTACTCAGAGTGACGATTACTATTATCAAGTATGAAAGGATTTCAATCTAAAACGGAACCAGAGAATGTGAAAGGGACACTTTCACACATGCGCCCTCAGGAAAACCAAACTTAGTAACTGAGAAAATGATTTCCCATAAGTGTCTAATTTAGAGACTTAAACTTATTTCCTACCAGTGAACATCCATCAAGAATCTCCTTCCCCAAACCAATGAATTATCTGCATGGGCTCCAGCGAGTCTCAACAGACTCGCCTGTAGCTTGTTACAGCTTGAGTTTTGAGTCGTGCATCTTTTAGAATTTTTGAGATAACTGTAAGTAAGCAGTTTTACGAATACAGAGACCCCTGTGTACCCTTTACCCAGCCTCCCCAACTGTGACATCTTGTAAAAACACTGCACACCACAACCAAGACACTGACATCCACAAGGCCAAGACAGAGCACAGGAGTCTCTCTGCTTGCTAGAAGACCTGCTGCCCAACTCACAAACCGTTCAACAAAACCAATTAGATCTTCAAATTCATATAAAAAAGTAAGATGCCAACCGTTTCGGCACAGGAGTCCCTCAGGTAACCTTTATAACCACACCAACCCCACCTTCAAATAATTTTTAATGCTAACACGATTTATTCAGGCCCCAACAGCGCCTTGCACACAATAAAGAACAAGGTCTGGCCCTGTGGCGTGGCTCCGTGGTTGACGTCGACCCTGCACCACGAGGTCGCAGGTTCAATTCCCGGTCAGGGCACATGCCCAGGTTTTGGGCCCGATGCGGCCAATCCATGTTCTGTCTCAATGATGTTTCTATCTCCACTTCTCCCTTCCTCTCTCTCTAAAACCAACAAAGAAAAAAAAAGAACAAGGTCTGGCGCGGGAAGGTGAACGCGGAGGGCAGCCCAGGCTGCCGCCAGGCGCGGAGACAGCGGAGCGGGGACCGGCGAACCTGCCCTACCCGAAGGAGACGCAGATCCCGCCTCTCGTCCCACAGCCGACCAATAGCTGTCGCAGGGGAGAGCCGCTACCGTCAGCCAATGAAAAGCGCCGGAAGTAGGTGGCCGCTCCCGGCCCAAGATGGCGGATATCCACCGCGAGCTGCAGGAGTACCTGGCACAAGGGAAAGCGGGCGCGCCGGCGGACGCGGAGCCACTGCTCGCCGCGGAAAAGTCGGAGGAACCCGAGGCGGGGGCATGGCTGGACCGCGCGGGCCTGCGCTGGGCGTGGGCGCGGAGCTCCGCGGAGCCGGAGGCGGGTCCGGCGTGCCTGCCGAATGTGACACGCACGCAACAGCTGGCGGCAAGTGGCGTGTGTCTGCTGCTGGCCACGCTCTGCTTTGGCCTGGCCGCGCTCTATGCGCCCGTGCTGCTGCTGCGCGCCCGCAAGTTCGCGCTGCTCTGGTCGCTGGGTTCGGCGCTGGCGCTGGCCGGAGGCGCGATCCTGCGGGGCGGCGCGGCGTGCAAGCGCCTTCTGCGCGGCGAGGAGGCGCCGTCGCGGACTACGCTGCTCTACGCGGCTGCGCTGGGCACCACGCTGTACGCCGCCTTGGGCTTGCGCAGTACGCCGCTGACGGTTCTGGGCGCCTGCGCGCAGGTGGCCGCGCTGTTGGCCGCGCTGATTGGCCTGCTTCCACGAGGCGCGAGCACTGCGCTCCGCCTGGCGCTCGGGCGGCTGGGCTCCGGCAGCCGCCTGGCCAGGGCGCTGCCAGTGTGACACCTGGACGCGGGAGCAGGGACGACGCCCACTGCCCCTGGGGTGCGCGGAAAGCGGACCACGTGCTGTTTGGAAGATGCTCAATTCTGGCTTTTTGTTCTGACTCAATGGCTTGTGCTGTGGGAACGAGATGTGGTCATTGAGTTGATGTGCAATGAAACGTACATGAATTATTCTTGCGTTAACCGTGGTCTTACCTGAGCTCAGTAAAAAAAAAAAAAAAAAAAAAAAAAGTCTTCCTAATCAGCTGCTCTCGTGACTTTCCCGAGGCTCCTTTTTTCTGTTTAAACCTCCAGTGGTAGATTGGAGTTCAGCTATGATAAGCTTGTCTTTGGCTCTTGAAAATTTTCCCTCGTTCTTCCACGTGAGTGGACCCATGAGGGTATCGATTTAAACGTTAAATTTAGCCATCGGATTTTTTCAAGTACTTAAAGAGGGTTTACCTCGGCTTTTCTTTTAGTGAATTGTCAATGTGCCTTATAAAGTAAGAGGAATACTGTACTGATGAAAGCGATGGACCTAAACATCCGTGTCGATGACAAAAGCACGCGATGGACCTAAAAAGGACGCGCTCTGCCCCGTCGTGGTGTCAGCGGGTGCACGTGCATGCTTTGGGAGACTGGGCACGCCTGGTGAGGGGCCCTGCAGAAAACTCCATCTGCGGTTCCATGTTTGCAGACACCACGGGCAAGTAAATTCTCCATTGTATGACCTGCTTTTTAAACATTGTATGCCAAGCCTAACACAATGGAAGATGCTTTTCATATCTAATTGCAGTTTCCTTCCTCTGGGTCAGCACTTTTTATCTGTGACTTGATTGCACACCTAAATTTATTGCCAGAAAATGTGGGCTAAATATGCTGAGTCCATAAAACTGTATGCGTTGTCACTCGTTACATATTAATTAGAATGTAAAATGTATGTAGCATTTTAAAATCCTATTTCAGTGGTTCTCAGTCACATCAGAATTACTTGAAAGCCAAACTTAAGACGAATTCAATCAGAATCTGGGGCTTGGGACCCAGGCATCACCTTTTTTTTGAGCTCTCAAGATTCCACATTCAGCCAAAGTTGGACTCACTTTTCTGTGTCCTGGATTGCACAATTTGAACAGTTTTCTGGGGCTGGATTCTAATGTTGCCTAAACAGTTGTCAGGCAGCAGTTGAGCCTCTTCTCCAACCTCAAAATGTGTTCTCAGGTCCCTGCCACCGTAGTGACCAACATCCACAGGACACAGCCAGGCTACTGCGAACACTTCCTTCCCACAGTACTATTTGCAAATAATGTCCTGTTCCTGGACAGTAAATAGGTTACCTACCTGGAGGAAAATCCAACAGGGTATTTGTAAAAGCAAATGCAGTTTTCAGGGAGTGGTGTGTTTTGTAATGAGAGTCCTAGGCCCTTGGCTGCTCCATCTACCCCTAGTGAAATCGGTTCTGATTCTAAATTTCTCCAGGACTTCCACAACTGGAGGACTTGAACATGTTTAGCACACTTGTTGGTATTTCTAAATATTGTTTTTCCAACATTTTCTCAAGAATTCAACACTGAAAATCTAGCTTTTATAAAATTCAAAGTACAATGTATTTTGACAGTGATGTTTTAAAATGTGTATATGTATAAGTATTTCATAAATATATACTGTAGAGATTTCACTTTTTTCTAAATTCACACCAAAAATGTAACCTGGGCTCTGGCCGGTGTGGTTCAATGAATGGAGCATTGGCCCTCACACCTAAGAGCCACAGGTTCGATTCCCAGTCAAGGGCAAGTTGCAGGTTAGTTCCCCGGCCCCAGGTGGGGTGGGGTGGGGTGTGGGAAGCAACCAGTCGATGTGTCTCTCACATCAGTGTTTCCCTCTCTCTCTGTAAAAATGTCCTGGGGTGAGGATGAACAACAACAAAAAATGTGATCTGCGTATCTGCTTACTGAGGTAGTGTGTGCTAAAGTTAACGCCTAAGATGGTAAGATGATCATGTTTCTTACCACATGAATCTCAGAAAAAGGAGCCTAATCTTGATAGAATCCCTTTTCAGATTCTCAGAATTGATTACATCTTCTTTTTAAGATGTGTCAATGGAGGGCAAATAAACAATATCCACAAACCTACAGCAGTCTTGAGCTACCTGTGTTTACAGTGAGGTGCTAATAAATAAGATGTTTTTATTTCAAAGTAAAGTGAAAACTATTCACTTTTAGTATATAGGTCCTGAAAAGCAAAATGAGTGACTGCCATATTCTCACTTTGCAGAAATAACTTACTTTTACCATTTTTTGCATTAATAGAGAGCTAGTTATGAATTGTTTACATACTGTCCAACCATCCCTGAGAAAAAAACTTTCTAAGCAGCTCCTGAAACTCCAGCACCACTAAGTCTGCCAAAGCAGACTTGTCTCCAGACTGAAGCTTTGAATGATGAAAACTTTCTTATAAAAACAAAGCAAGGGTCAGTACTGAAAGTATTGTAGAGTTAGCTCAAACCGAACTTTTGGCATCCATTCCATATGGGGCCGAATGTTACATTTAAAACTAAAGAAATTTTACTTTACTTCCTGGCTTACTGAAGTTAGGGTTGTCCCTGGCCTTAAACATGGGTATCTCTACATAACTAGTATGGAAAAGAAAGAAATTATTGAAGTTTTACAAACTTTTTTCAGACATTTTGGTCCATTCTTTTCAACTTAAACAATTTGTGAAATGATTTACAGTAATCAAAAGGGTACATGAAGTTAATTTCTGGCTTACATTAAGTTCCTCTAGTCAGAAACAAGGCAATTCAAGTCTAAGGTGATTACTAGGAGATGCACCCAAGGGAGAGCCCCTACTTGGATAATGAGAATATTTTTTTTTCTCTGGAGTATAATTTTTCATCTGCCAGAGCACATCTAACTAAGGCTTTGAATCTACTCCAAACTATGTTCTAGTTTTACGGTATTTCTCTATTACAAAAATAAGTGTGAGAGAAAATGGCTGGATGAGAATCTGTTTAAAAACGAAGCTCACAGATGAGATGAATTTAGATGACAGGCTCCATCAAGTCTGCTCGCAGCCTCAGCAGACAGTGCGGGAACGGTTTCCTAAGGCAAGCACATCACAACTGGTTGTTCTGTCAATTCTTGCATAAATCACATTCTGTATTCATACAAAAACAACTTAATGTTTTTCTCTGACAAACTGTACATATAGAAACAAATCTCCAATTGGACATGAACTTAATTTTGTGGAGGTGCTCCTTGTCTCATGACACTTAAAAAAATTCCAGCTTTTATCTTCACAAAACAATGGAGGAGCTAGGGCAGTGAGGATGGACAGGACAGGACACGCCAGCTACTCTGGGCAGCCAGCAGCAGTCTCTCCATCCTGAAGACCTCAGAGGGCTCCCAGAATTCAGCTGCCCCAGAAAGAGAGCTCTGGGTACAAGGTGCAGGCTTCCTTTTGTTTCTCTTGGTAAGTCCACAAGAAATTCTTAAATACTGTCCAGGAAGGTGAAGGAGTGCTCACCCCCACTTCTACCGACCCCTTCCACCACCCCTTGAAGCTCCTCGCCTCGGTGGACCCGAGTTCATGTTACTCCCTCTGCCCCAGTTACTGCCACTCCGGACCCCTCTAGAAGGGGTACCACTGCCTGGAGGGACCCCAAAAGGTTCGTCTCTGTGGTATCCATCATGGTGATCTCCATCCAAGGAGCTGGAACGTCCAGATTTTGGCACTCTTTGGGAAGGTCCTGGGCCCCCTCGGCCTGAAACGAAACATTGATTTTGCATGACTTTTTTAAATCAGAGACAACTGATGACTTCCTGGCATGAACTTTTACTGTGATGACAGCACAACACTTCAGAAACTGGCATCAGAGCACTGAAAGCTGTGTCCCGCCCTCTGGACCACTGTCCGTCCAGCCTGGCCTGTGGCCATGCCCTCCACATCCACTGGCCATGCTCCCCAAGGCCCTGGGACGGAGCGAATAGGAGGCCAAGAGATACACAGCACCCCCGGGAGTCACGGACCCCCACCTGGCTCTGGTCAGCAGGAAGTGGAGCCTCACCCTCTGTGCCCCAGGGCTCTGAGGGAGGGTCTGTAAAGCACTAAGGAGCTCTTGAAGCACCTGGATGACGGTAGTTACAAGTGCTCTAAGTACAATAAGCTTTTATTAGGATCATCTCACAACTATGTGGCACTTTTGATTTCCTTTTAAATCGTGAAATAAAATATTTATTGAAAAGCAAAAGCATAGAGAAACACTAGCTTTAGAATTATTTCTCCCAGGGATAGTTTTATTAGTTTGTCTTGACACACTTTAGGTATCATTAAAATTCTGACTTAAAATTCTTCTTCTCATGAGATGACAAGATTTGGTCACCTCTCCCCTATGCATTATCAGAAGATTAATGACAACTTTATTTTGTCTTAATTTTTTTAATGTAATTGAGTCCAATTAAGACAAAGAGATTAGGCCCTGGCTGGTTTGGCTCAGTGGTTTGAGCATCGGCCCGCAGGCCAATGAATCGTGGGTTTGATTCCAGTCAAGGACCCATACCTCAGTTGCAGTTCATCCCGGCCCTAGTGGGGTCGTGTGGGAGGCAACCATTCGATGTGTCCATCTCACATCGATGTTTCTCTCTGTCTCTCCCTCCCGCTCTATCTAATGATAAATAGAAAACTATCCTTGGGTGAAGGGGAAAAAAAGAAAGAGGTTAGGAAAGCTGGCCAAAGGAATAATTTTGGCTTCTTTTCTTACAAAGTGCAAGCCAGACCCACCAGAAGGTGCAAGGGCAAAGCTGCTGTCAGCGGGGATGTCACTGTCACACTAGCCATGTGGCCAAGGACCTACAAAGGTGTCCTGGGTGCCCATACAGAACAGCCACAAAATGTGTGCTTGGATGGGGAGACCTCCTGATGACATAAGGTGATTTCTGAGGGGTTTTCTCTGACAAGAACCAAACTCAAGAACAAAAGCCAGAACTCTGCAGGGAGGCAGGTGAACGGGCGTGGAGGATGAGCTGGAGCACATGGCAGTTTTCCCAGCAGCCTCCATACCACACCACAGAGGCAACAGCCCGACCGGAGGCCAGAGCTGTAGAACGTTTGGTGGCCGCTGCCCGGGCTGAAAGTTCCTTCCACCTGCGCCTGCCCCTCACTGAAGAGACAGAGCAGCCACCAGCAGAGAGCACCTTGGCCAGTTAGAGCAAAGGACCACCAGCAGAGACCGTGCTGGCACCTGACAGAGC